ACTCTTTCCATGACGGAATTGGCCATGCCATAATTAGTTTGTCCGGCGTTTCCTCTGCCGCAAGAAACGGAAGAGAATGCTACAAAGTGCCGAAGTTTACGGCAGATATTTCTGGATAGCTTATCCAACATGTGGGTCGCCCAGGCTTTTGATTTGAAAGATTCCGCAAAGGTATCCGCAGTATGATTCTTCACGACATGATCCTTCAACACCATAGCTAGATTGAATATCGCGTCTACCGGTGATATCTTTTCCACAATTTGGAGGAGACGTTCGCAATCATTGCTGTCGGTAACATCGATATTTTTGACGATGAGCACATTTATATCGTACGACTTCCACAATTGAACTTTCCTGCGCTGATAACCATTTTTTATTCCAATCCGCGAAATTAGGACGACGTTCTTGGCACCTCGTTGTATTAGCCAGTCAGTTAACTCCAAACCGAATCCACCCAGGCCTCCTAAGATAATATAGCTTTTGTCACTAAGACAGTAGTAACGGCGATGTGCGACAATAAGCTCACTCAGAGGTTTATCTTCCTCTTGAATCTTTAAGATTGTCTAAAAAATATTTATATATTAAAACGTCGAGATTATTATAGAAATACAAATTTATGTACATTACTGTTTATAAACTACTGCTAACTGAGCTATATGATTAGCATACCTTTCCTATATGTTTTTCACTTGCCATGTATCTAAAAGCCGTCTCGATTTCTGTTTTTTGGAAAATTTTCATCTGAATTGGTCTGATAACCCCATATTTCAAACCATTAGCCATTATTTTGGACAATTGAGACTTATGCTTGTGATAACCGACAAACATGTTATCTAATAGAATTATGTAAAAACTGATACCTTTTTTTTGAAATATTGATATATCTAGAGAATTGTTAGAAGCAAGATTAAACTCGCCAATCTCCAGGAAACGACCGTTTCGTGCTAGACAACGAACGGATGCAATCAGTTTTTCTTCTGTTAATGAATTTAACACGATATCCACGCCGCGCCTGTTTGTTTGCGACATTATCATTTGTTCGAAACTGATATCTCGAGAATTTCCAATGTGCGCATCAATGATAGTTGGAAACATTTTTTTTAAAAATTCTCGCTTTTCGATTGTATCCACAGTAGTAAATACTTCGCATCCCTCACTAAGAGCAAGATAGATAGCTGCTTGTCCAATATCTCCAGCACCAGAATGTATAAGTATCTTATTGCCTTTCCTTATTTTCCCATAAATGTATAAGGCCAAGTAACACATGCTATAAGCGCACGGGACTGTTGCCGCTTCTTCGAATGTCCATGTATCGGGTATGTTCCAACATAATTCTTTGTCTTTCACAACGACGTTTGCTATACACCTAGAAAGAGAGCAATGTTAATCAATGATATTTTACATAATATAATAATTGGACAATTATAATATTTACTTATTAGCACAAAGTCCCATTACGCGTCGTCCATTGGCATCGAATCCTACATATTCCATTCCGAGAGACATAGGTTGAAATTGTTTTTGCGACATTGCCGGATACGAATTTAATTTAGCAGTGGCTGACATTACATCTTTAAAATTGATGGATGAATAAATCACATGTACCAAATCTTCGCGATGAGAATCGATCGATATATTGTTCTCCATCCAACAAAATGAATTTAGATCACCACGAACCTATAAGAAAACATTTCGTTATATACGACATACATATATATACATATACACACATACATATATATAAGTTGATTCTCATTGTTCATAAGCAACTTTAGGTGTTCGAGCCAATTAAAGTCATTATTACTTATATGGACAACGGCCATTCTCTTTACCGGAACTTTTTTCTTTAGAAGCAAAATTACTTCCGTATCGGTACGCTTTTCAAGAATGACATTTAATTTATATTGTCGCAAGTGTTTTTCGTAGTCAGTTATATTGCATCTCTCGCGCGACAATAGATAACCACCTTCCGTTACGAATGGCAAAAGTTGTTCTAACCAGTTTTTTGATTTTGTCAAAAGATTGAATCCAAAAGCTATTAAGATTTTATCATTTGTAGATAACTTGTTTAAAGCTGCAATTGTAATGTTTTCCGGCAATTCTATTGAATTGAAGCGATTCGGTGATGTTATTAATGTAATATTTGTTTGTATTAACGGCATATTGTTTAAAGTTTTAATCAATGACAAAGATGATAAATTTTCCAATGTTACATTATCAGTATTTTCCACTAGCTCAATAGCTTTTATTTTGATAATCTGATGATCTTCCAACACGAGTTGTGCCGATATTCGAATCGCTTCATCCAAAGAAATCTTAGCACAATCGTGATGAGCTACAAATATATATTCCTCGTTAACAGGATCTTGAATTAGTTTTCGGCGAGAAATCACGGTAGTCTTAGCACCCCGAATCTCTATTCCGCCAGATATAATCGCGTCTATTTCTCTGTATATGCGTACTGGTAATTCTGTAACGAGACAACAAAAATAGCTATTTTGCTACAAAAGTTTTCTTACATGGTATTAATGCAAAAAGTAAAATATAATTCTTTCAGTATTTATTTAATTTTCAATTATTGATACAAGAACATACGTTTATCCTTGTCATTCAATATGTCCCGCAGCTTTGATGTGTGAAGCGCAGGATCAATCACCAATTTTTGAATACTTGTAGGAACATGTAAATCTCTAGTATCGTATCCAAGAATATGCAGCTGTAGCATGGTTTCCATAAATGTCACCCAATTATTTGTCCAAACGATGTGTCCTTTGTTGCCTGAAATAGATGCGCTTTTTAGTCCACAAAAGCAACCGCTGTACTCATAACCACGCAGTTTCAGCTCTTTATAGACGTCTCGAGCAGTCATATCTTCTTCTTCGTCATCATTCTCCGGTAATAAATCGGTCGAAATCATCTCTTGTTTTGGATTTGATACGATATACACTGTACCAATTATCACAAGGCTATCTCCTTCGATCACTTCAAACTTTCCACTATCTGTAATATTTTTATATTCAATATTGTGCACACATAAATACGAGATCATTTATTTTAAAATTACTCCTTTAGAAATAATTATATTTATTATATAATGTCATAAACACCTTTCTGTATCGTGATCGTCAATTTTGCAGCGTTATCCGACAAATGAGTAGCACGAATGAAGCTTATATCTTGAAATACTATCGGCATAGTTGTGTACATTTCCCCTTTCATTATGCCAATAGTTTCCCAAACGAGCGCAAGATATCCTGTGGTCGGTAGCAAATTTTTTCCGTCGATTACGTATCCGGCCATATAACTATAGGTCTCATCATCAAGTGCGATTTCGACGAGTCTTTCACCGTATTTGATATTCTTCTGTGATTGATAGCTTGGCACATACCAATCTTCAGAATGATTCCATCTATAATACGTCATTAAAACGCTTGCTTATATGTTATATGCTTATTTATATCAGTAACATTTAGAGATCGATTATGATATTGTAATATTGTATACCTGATAGATGGAGATATCATAGGAGTGCCTCGGCTAACTGGCGGATATAAATTAGCGATCTGCGGTTGTAAGCCGCAATTGTAGAGCTTTCCAATGCCTCGCAAAATTACATCGGTGATATTTTGTTCAGTGCGCTGAGTCAATGCGATGGTCGTCACTTTTGGATGTAGGGATTCCTTTAAAATATGCTGCAAAACGACGTTCGGTGCGATTTCTATAACCACGGTATTATTCGGAATTAAACGCGTTGCTTGTTCAAAGAGAACGGTGTTTAATATACTACGCGTGTGATAGTTTGCTGAAGATAATTTCGATTTCGCATTGGACCATTCGACGCAAGGTACAGAGGTGCTGATCCATCTTGGACTCCGTTTTTTCGGCTGTGATATTACTTCGTTCAAGTTGAATAAAAGCCGAGTTTCCAAGGATGCGAGATAATGGCTGTGATATGGAATATCGCAAGAGATTTCTTTCACGTTGATATTATTAATCTGAAAAATAAAGATAGAAAATTATTGCAAGCAGACAAGTATACAAATAGAAGCTTAGAGTTCAATATTCTCAAAGAAGACAAGTATCTTCAGAGGATCAATGTACCTGTAATTTTTGCACGAATACTTGCACGGATTCAACCGGCCCTGTTACAATATTGTTGTTTGGACTGTTGTAGCACACTATTTCAATATCTTCTGGACATATATTTTTGAGACATTCGTAATCCAGATCGACAACTGTCATAGAGCTATGGATAATATTTCCTTCGACGTAGGCCAGACCGATAAAGTATGCCGATAAAATAGTTTGTTCAATAGTGAAACATTTATCAGCATACGCACAACCGAGTTCACCACCAGAATGACTAATCACGTAATCCGGAGTAATCTCTAAAGATGTCAGAAGATCTACTAAACCGATCTACAAAGTTATTAATAGATAATTTTATCATTATACCGTTTTTAAAAATTCTATTTGCATTAACATAAAAAAAAATTTTTTTGATATTATATATTATTAAAATAATTTTATATATTTTATTATATTTATATATACACGTATCATATAAAAAAAATATTTTACCTGGACAGCGATAATACCGACAAATGTGTATAAAACGCTTTCGCACACTTTTTCGTGTTTCTTTGTCAAAATGTTCATGATGTTTATATCGTACGGTTTCAAAATAGCGTCGCACATTCTTATCGCATTTGCAAAAGCATAAAATT